GGCCCCCTGTAAAAGCATGCAGTCTGGGGATTTATGCAGCGGGGGGCCTCAGCTAGGCTTGCTCCCCTTCCTTACGCCCCGCACACACCCCGTGTCTCACGGCGGGTCTTCACACCCGCTTCCTGCTCGTGAGCCCAGGCGGACTTTGTGGGTACAGCGGCTTCCGCCAAGCTCGCCCCGCAACCTGGTCTCGGAAGCTCACTGCGGAGAGGGAGGCCCTGCCCCAGAGAGAACGGCATAAGGCAACAGAAGGGAGCGCCGTCCGACATTGGGGTTCCCTGTTCAGTTTTGAAAATTCCCCACCTGTCAGGAACAAACGCTTCTTTTCAAGTGTTGGTAGAGACAATCAAGTGGTTGGTTTTTTAAGATTAGAAATGATCTGACCAAAATTGTGACTCATCCTAGAGTGAGGTGCTATGTTTTCAGATATTCAAGTTCAACTCGGAGTAACCATCACCTCCTGTAACAACAAGCAGGAGGGGAGTGCTACAAAGCGCATGACAATGTTGGCTTGGTTTTTAATAGACATCAGATTAAGCCATTTCGCTTGGCTTCCTCTGTTCTGGGAGAAGGGTAGCTTGTTAAGCCTCTGGTACAAGCCACCGTGTTAGTGGCAAACAGGGAGTATTAAGGACCAACAGACAATTTCCCGAACATTTCATCCAAAGGAGAACAATCTGTATTTTTTTTAAAAAGGAAATCTTGTTAAAGAATGCTGATAAAGCAACAGCAAAAGAAACTCCCCCCACCCACCCCAACGTTTCAAGGTGCAAAGTTAGATCGGTAGGGGTGGGCTCTTGCGGGTTACACTGAGAGAAACATGGAGGTGAACGAAAGGTTTACAAGCAGCTTTTCCAAACGGAGGCCTTCCTGTCTTGATGAACCCTTCACATTCCCGCACGGTTGTCAGGAGCCCTCCAGGGTTCTAGTGTTCACAGTTCTGCTCAAAAGCGAGAGGTAACTTTTAGTACCCTTGTGCATGAAATGGGATTCCAGCCCCACCCCACCCCCAGGCCAGGAGGCATGGCCGGAAAAAGCAGTAATGACAGTAATGAATGCGTATTACCTGATGCTGCCTCCACTGATTTGGTCAAGGAGTTCGTGGGACGTTCTTCCTCAAATGCCAACTTGGGACTTGCATGGACTGACACTTCATCTCTACAGTTCTGGGAGGGTTTATCAGCAGCGATGCTCTCCGAACCAAGTCTAGCTGTCTTAGGACGCACCCCTAGATCAATGATTTCTTCAAAATTCCATGCAGAAGGTTTCCCATTAAAGTTTGAGATAAATCCAACAGAGTGATGAGCCTCATTAATGTCCAGGATTTCAGAGTTTTCAATCATCGTTCCTTTGGCTGGAATACTGGGAAGACAAGAGGAACAGCCTCGTCCACTTTCCATACAGAGATTCATCCAGAGTTCATCCTTACCTAATGGAGGATTTGTGCTTCTCTCTAAAACAAAAGCCTCTGGGGGCACAATGACGCCGACTGCAACTAACTTAATCGTTACTCCCATCAGCCAAGGCAAAGAAGTGATAATTTACTCACTAATTTGATAGGCTGTAGATTCCTTCAAAACAAAATGTTCAGTTATTGGCACGACTACGTCCATTGCACCTTCTTCTGCTTTTGTATAAGCAGAATGCTTCAGTGATTGTTTTTCTCCTTTACAAAACTTATACAACACAGACCAACATCCAAGATTTGCTCTGCACTGATAATCTCACAGCTCAGCGCACAAGAAACCTTTGAAGCATCTCTAACATAAACATGACGTTCTAGTCATTTTATGCTGGTCCAAGGGAAGAGCTGGGACTAACAGCCAAGCCGCTCTGCTTTTTTTGACCAATTCCTGACATTAACCCCCAACTGAATCTTTGAGGCTGGCTGATGCCGATCTGGTACTGCTTCACGGAAGCAGAGTGAAGAGTCCCCTTGGCACAGAAGTGTGCCAGCTTACGTGACAGAATTCCCTGCCACAGAATGTCAGTCAGTGGTGCCTCCAGATTCAGGGTTAGGGTGTCTCTTTCGACCAGCTGCTGAGAAGTGACTACTGGTCTGTGAGCTACGTGGAGAGACCTGGACAACCCTCCGCGGGAAACAGGTTGAACAGCAGAGCTTTAGCGCTCTTCTGATGTAAGCTGGGCACCTCAGGCCTACCTGGCTTCTACCGACTGAGTGAAATACACAGAATTCCCATCCTCATCCTCTTCCTCCTGTTTATTCCCGTTTACGAAGACGTCGTCTGTTTCAATTTTGGAGTCTTCTTGCACCAAAGTATAATTGTGCAATGCCTCTGAACCGTCTTCTAGAGATGAGTCATCGTATTTTGACTTTTCTGCAAGGAAGAGTTAGAGCTGAAGATCTGTGACGCCTAGTGGGGAACGCTTCCAGTGATTTCCAGACCATGACCCAACCCCTGAAAGGCTACGCCCGGTTCATTTTAAAAAGGTGGAGGAGAAACCGAGAGACAAACAGGCACCACCCGATCAGGCTACAGATGTGCCCCCTACCAGGCTGATCTTGCTTTTCAAGGCCCAGCTCTTCATCTTCGTCAACACCCTCATCTTCCTCATTCGATTTATCTTCATTCTGCATTACAGAAATTGAAAATAATCATTTGCAAAGCGGGAGGGAACATTAGATCAGCCTCACAGAGAGTAAAACCTTGAACCTCCAGATCTCCATTCAGCAACAGACAAAACTTCCCTTTGGACGTGACCTCCAAGAAGTCCAGAAACCTGATCTAATTTCCTACTCTCGCATCAACTGATAGCATTCACACAATGCAAATTACATAAATTGATGCAAATGATGTAAATTGGAAATGCAATTTTCAGCCCAAGATGGTACGAGGCCAATTGCAGATTATACTGTAACGTGTATTCCGGATTTCTTTCCTTGATAATTATTGACTGGACTGCACAAATAGATAGGACCGAAACTTGTATTTAACTACAGGTCGTCCTCGTCTAGCGACCACAATTGGGACTGGCAACTTGGTTGTTAAGCAACTCTGTCACTAAGTGAAACTGCGACTGTGCTTACGATCTGACTTTAACTTTCCTTTGCTTTACAGATTGGCAAAGGTTGTAAATGTGAGGATTTGATCCAAAGTTACTTTTTCATCACCATCATAACTGCAAATGGTTACTAAACAAGGCAGTCGCTAAATGAGGACTACCTGTAATTAAGTTCATTAATCAACTCAATACAATTAATACTAATTACTCTGCATACATTTCATAAGCTGCCAGAAACCTTTGCCACTCTGGGACCTGCCTTTCAAAATGCACCAGCTATGCACATGTTTCCAAACCAGATCAGTACAAAGCGTCGGACTCAGACAAAAAGGACCGGGGAGTAATTTGCAGACGTATCCCTGGCAATATCTGGTGGGTACAAAGCAGCCCAACTGCCAGGTGAGAGACTGAAAGATGCTTACTTTAGCCTCGTTCTGCTCTGCCTTCCGTGTCCTCTTCATTATTTCTTCAATTCTCTGTAGGACACAAACCCCGTTTAATTAACACGATGCAGCCCTTGCTCACAGACCCCAAAATGCTCAAGGGGGATTTTGATGACAGATGAACCAACTGGTTGAAATCCCTGGTCAACAGGAATGCCAAGGCAGAGCAGCCTGGGTTCTCTCTCCTCACCCATTTCACAGGGCAAACTGGAGAGGGGAAATGCAAACAGGGTGCACTAGCATCTTGAAGGGAATGTACCATAAATGCAGGAAAAAAACTGAAATAAAATCCCCTGCTGAGTGCAGAGGGAAAAAAAGGCCTCCCTTTAGGTGGGAACTTAAACACCCACAGCCAGGCTACGGTCAGGTAACGAAGCTGCCTTCACCCTGTCCAAGAGAGAGCGGGAGGCAGAAGGGGGCTCCTACCTTCTTCCTCTCCAGCCTCTCCTGCAGGTTCTGCTGCATAATCCGCTCCCGTTCCTGCCGCTGCCTTTCCGCTTCCTTGGAGGCTCTCGCTTCAGCTTCTTCCCGCTAAAAGGGAAAGGGGAAAAACGCCGTTGTGAGGTCACCACGGCTCCAATCCATCCTCTACGAAAGGGGCCAGCCATCCCAACATAAGACGAGTTACGGAAGGAGCAGCTCCGGCCAGCAGAGGTTACAGCAGCAAGAGGCACCGCGATACGGCGGACGCTCTCAGTCCTTAACTTGGGGGTCCTTTATTCGCTTCACACCCAAGATGGCAACCCCGGACTTAACACAGCTCCCTGATGTTACGCTACAACTCCCAATTCCCTGATCATCAGCCAGGGTGGCTGGGGATGATGGAAGTTGTTGCCCAACATCGGGGCAGCAGAGGTTGAAAAGGCAGTGGTGGCTGCCGGGCCAAAATCCCACAGGGTGCTCTTGCGGAGGCCCCGACCTGCATCTGAAGCTCCACCAGCTTTTCCTGTTCTTCCTGCTCCCTCCGAATTCGGTCCTTCTCGGCCAGCCGCTGCTGCTCCTCTTCTTCTGCTCTCTTCAACTCTTCCAGCTCTCGGAGGGCCGCCTCCTCCTGCGCCTGCTTCTCCAGGGCTGTCTTGGCCATCTCCTCTTTCTGGATTCTAGGAGCCCAAAGCAAAGGGGCAACGGGCAGCAAGCTTGCTTGTGCAGGCCGGCCTCGCGCAACTTGGCTTGCAAGGGCCTGGCATCTCTGCTTGCAGCACCGAGACTTCCCATTCCCAGGCCTGGGGTTGGTGTGTCTTGGAGCCCCTGTCATGTTTTTATTGTTAGGGTTGTTTTGACTCTGGGCTGCCCCATTTTGTTTCATGTTTCTAACTGTTTCAATTGTATATTTGGATGCCCAGAGTCTTTGGGAGTGGGCCGTCATGATAAGTTAAGCAAGCAAAGAAACCAAACAAATGTTCTGTTTCTCAAATGGCTTCCAGGCACAAGGAAAATCTCCAGACTGAAACCTGGAAAGCCACAGAGCACTCCAAACCTTGCTAGCACTGCCTTGTAGCCGGGTTTCTGCAAAGACTTGCTTAAATTGCCCACCTACAAACTACCAGCTACTTAGGCCCCTCCAAATGCGATGTGCTGACTCTGCATATCCCAGATGCCACAGCTAACATGGCTGAAGGCATCTGGAAGATGCCAAGCTGAGGGGGGCTGATTTAGAACTCCAATGGTAGCCCCACCTGATCTAAGATGATCCCCCCAAATTAAGGATTCAAGCCCAAATCCCAGGGCCATAGGCTAGGCTGGAAAACCAAGAAATATTCTCAAAGAAGGCAATGGCAAACTATTTTCGTATCGCTCTCCAGATGATTTTACTTTAATGTAGTGAACAGGGCCTGTTTTTGATCGCAGACGAATCCAAAGCAGAACCGAAGAAGAGAATCCGTTAGGCCTCCTTTTTAAGGAAAGAAGGCAATTTCTGAGATTTAAGTAATAAGCCATTTAGAATTTTAAAAGGTTAAGGACCTGCAATGGAGAACAAAGGAGAACCTTTCTATTTTATTAAACTATCTCAACCTCGTCTTAGATTCTTATCATGGGTGACCAAATGTTAGCTTCAGAGGATGTTGTTTGCCACTCAATCTCCGTAGGAGAACCATGATTTAAAACCTGTGTGTGTGTGTGTGTGTGCGCGCGCGTGTGTGCGTGCATGGATATGCAATGATAGAAAACCTCTCTTCTTTACCTTTCTTCCTCTTCTCTTTGAAGTTTCTCCTGGTCTTCACGCTCTCTCTGTTCTCTTGCAAGACGGCGTTTCTCTGCCAAGATCTTCGCTGCTTCTTCAGCGGTTGTAGTCCCTGGAACAGTTTTGCAACTTGCATCTGGAAAAAAGGCGTTTTAAAAAAAGTCATTCAAAGGCAGCCAAAGCTTAATTCGCTTTCTAATTTTTGTTTTTGTTCCATCGCTTGCAGCTCTGCTCTGTTCAGCATTAAGTCTGATTTATACAGGATGTGGAGGACAATAGAAAACCTTCTTGGGCTCAAATGTCCCAGATCCCTCCAATTTTTCAGCCTACTGTCAGAACTCTAGTGGACAGGCAACGCAGTCCCCTCACTGGTCGGGGGGTTTAAATGCAAACAGATAAACACATCTTTATATGGTGAAAGACAAGGTAAAGGCACAGACTTTTCAACAACCTCATGGTTACTGCATGGTTCTCTCCATGGCTAGAGCTACTTCTAGTAACATCTCCAATAGCCAAAGTGGTTCCATGTCAGCAGCCTCACGGAGTGGTGTGAGAATAACCAATATGAGCAATCAAACGTTAAGGTTCTAAATTCTAGGTTCTTAAGTAGATTTTTTTTCCTTCCACACTTCTATTCCCTTCTGTTCATCCCTGAAGAAATGCAGTTCAAAATAAGAAAGTGTGAGGCTGGATTTCCCACTGCAGTGAGCTTCACTCCCCAAAGAGAAGACCACTTTGGCTATGGGAGATGTTGCTACAAGTAGCTCTAGCCATGGAGAGATTTATTGGGAGCAACACGTACTTCGGTACCATCTCAGAAGAAAGCTTTCAGTCATTCACTTCTAAAATGTATGCCATCTGATACTAGGCACGTTTGCTTGGAAAGACACTCTATCAACCTAAATCAAGCTTGTAGGAAAAGCAAACCAAGGCTTTTTTTCCCCCCTGAACATCAGGTCACATGGACTGAAGTGAAAAACAAGTACTCAGCCCCAGACGATTTAGTAGAGGACTGGCATATGAATAAGGCAGTGTTTCTCAACCTCAGAAACTTTAAGATATGTGGACTTCAACTCCCAGAACTCTCCAGCCAGCATGACTTGGAGGAATACATTTGTAGTCCAGCTGATAACTTGGCATTTCAGTAAGCCACCCACTATAAATCTAGACAGATTAGCAAAAGAAGGTTGCAAAGTAAGCAAAAATAAATATGCACAAAACCAGATATTGGGCTAGATCACTCTTCCCAATCTGGTGTCCTCCAGTCATGCTAGGCTTCAACTCCCACAACTTCTGTAACAGGGAACGAAGCCAACTGCATCTGGAGACAACAGGGGAGGAGAAAATGAGCCGTGCTCCTGAAAAGACAAGGATTCTTCTGAAAGAACCCACAGCCACCAACTGGAGGAGCGTGCGAAAGCGTGTTTGCTCTAAAGGGATGCACACACATCCTTACGGGGATGCCAGATGCTGCATCTGTAAACCAAGAAATGTGCTAAATTTACACTACACCTTGAATTCATTTGCTCATCAACATATCAGCAATGGACAAAAACTGCCATTCGTTTATTGTGCTGATATTACACACAGGGATGCACTAGTGTTATGTAACTTGTTTTAAGTCAATTTGTGAACATACTTTCTCCTCTTTTGAGTGTGTCTATGAAGGTTAATAAACAAAACATCTCCGTGGGTAGAGCAACAGACACAGGAGTGCGAATGCTTTAATGCCCCTACTTTCAAACCTATTATTTCTTTTTTAAAAATCCATGTTTTTAAAGTATTCAAGATCCTGGCAAACACTGTGGGTTTACTTTAAGCACCAAGTATATTCAACTATAACTGTCTGACGTATCATCTTCACTCTGCAGGAAGGATCAGGGGTGTGCCTGCTGATGCTGAAAGCTAATTCTGTAAATGTTCTGCTCTACAGTGACTAACGAACTGAGGCCTGGGGTGGCTGAAATCTTCTCTCCAACAGAAGCTCTTTTGTGCTTGTTAGGTGGGGAGTCTAGAACCCAAAATTAGGCAAAGGATCTTAACATATTGTTTGAAGGAGAATGAAAATAAAAAAATTCTGCTGCACAGTGAGTCTGACATCTCTTTTGATCAACCGATGGCTAGCTTAGGAGACCCTCTGAAAATACTTCCTTCTGCTGGGGCTTTGGACAACCACAATACCCTAAACTCTGTTCTATTTTGGCACAAGGAGGCCCATGTGATCATCAGTCATAAACTAGTCCAGAGGAAACTACATGTCTGTGCTGCTAATAAGGCCTTCCTGACTCTGCCAGCCTTCTCTCTTTGCCACTGATTCCCTCTTCTTCTTGAATTCTCTCTTTTTAACAGCTCTAGAGGTTAGAGCCAACATGAGACACCTTATTATCCTCCTCCTCCTCCAGAAGGAAGGCACAAGCGAAACTAATGGGTGGGGACAGGAAGCAGGTTCCTTTCCTGGCCCTTCTCTCTCATCTGAGGTGTTAACTCATTCTGGTGCCCAAGAAAGCAATGATTTATTGAGCTTTTAGTGAAACCCCAAGTGCAAGGTCACAATACTGGTGTGCACTCCCGGATGCCCATGAATGGGATTTGGAAGGCCAGTGTACCACCAGCAGCAGATTTTAGGAAGAGAAGCTCGCACGCTTGAGTTCCTTGGAAGAAGAGAAGCTGCCGGTCACATTCTCTTCTATCCTACGATAAGTATTATAATGGAAAGACAACGGTAACCCCCTTCTGTCACCTAGAGTAATATTAGTCTTCTGTCACCCACAGAGGACTAACTGCAACCAGCTTTTGGAACATCTGTCTATGAAGTACCAAGATCCTGTTATTTTGCCATTTAAATATCCCCCTCCCTAAACCAAGCTGTCTCTATGGCAATAAACAAACACAACTCCTTGCCATCAATTAAAGACATTCCCGTTCATTTTTTATATATTTGAAGCAATAAATACTGTTTTATTTGCAGCTCTTTTTTGTTCCTTGACTCTGAATAGGAATGATGTGTATCCCCCACCCCCACTCCGGACAAATTAAAAAGCTGTAGATTAATCATCTGGTAGAGAGCGCAAAGGCCCTCACGAGGACTGAAACAATTCTAAATTCTCCAGATTTTTCTTGAGATAAATGAACATCACCCCAAGGAATTTAATATTTATGGCCCCTTGCACGTTTATCCTATTTTTTTTTTTAAAAAAACGACTGCTCTTCTATATTGCAAGAGACCATTTATTGCAAAAAAGGAGAGACTCCAAATAAATAAATAAATAAATAGATAGATAGGGAGATACCCCTTCTACCTCTGTCTTTTCTGCATCCTGAGATATCTGGCAGGGACTATTTTCTGCCTATGAAGACAACAGCACATATGAATGTGATGCACCAAATGTTCCCTTGTATCCTGCAGCTCTATGGTGAAGCTGTGGACTAGCAGTGGCTGAGGACAGGGGAGTAGTTGGGGGAGAACCCCCTCGAAGATTCTGCCTTCAAAGCAGAATTGCCCTGGAAACAAATCTAGCCTAAACTGGCAAGACGGGTGTGTTGACTGGAGCTGCTAAACATTTACTCGGGATAATCTAGGTCTTTCTCCTCTGGCTGAGAAAAATAGCCAGGTGTGGGCAAGGCACCAAAGTGATGGGAGAGGCTGGCTAGGTGACTGTTCAGCACCCTGAGCTCCTGGCCGATGTAGTCCACGCTGCACTGCATGGCCTGGAAGGTGTGCAGCAACTTATTCAGGACAAAGGGATCAGTGGTCATTGACACGGGCCGCTGAGCTGGAGCCCTCCTGCTGAAAGGAGGAGACGTCAGCGAGCAGGGCAAGGCGGTCCTGCGAGAGCACGGAAAGCTAATTGATCGGAGCGGGCTGACGCCTACTCCGTCTCCGTGCCTCGCGGCCTCCAGCACAAAGTTAGGGGGGAGGCCGCCAGCGGCTCCCCTGGCAGACAGAGGACGCCCGAGGTTCGGCATGCTAGCAAAGCAAGGTGGAAACATGCTGGGGGAAGCATCGCGGCCCGTGAGATCAGCCTGGGAAGGGTTGGGAGCGCCACTCAAGGAATGAGAGGAAGCCCCCATGCGCGACATCGGATCGTATCCGAAAAGCATCCTTCTGGCGACAGAGGAAGCTGGCGGGAAATCCTGAGAGCAGAAAGATGAGGCGGCAGGAGACGAGGGGCTGAAGATGGAAGATGGCAATTCAGGAAGGAATGTGAAGGAGGCCGGTGACTCTGCAAAGGAAAACACGCGGGGCTGAAGCCACGGGCAGGACGGGCTGCCAACGGGGCTGGCGGACATTTTAACACTTAGCATGCTCTACTGTGCTAGACCTACAAGCACTAAGGGGAGGGCGAGAAGGCCAAAACGGCAAGGAACGAATCCCGCGGCCCACTTAAAGCAGCAGTGCAGGGGGAGCCTCCTCTCGTTGTGTGCACACACCCCTAGCAGAGCAACCGACTCACCTGGAGCTCTTTGCAGAGGATCCTGCCAAGGCTACCTGGATCAGACTGCTTTTCTCTAAAAGTTTCCCCAGAGAGACAGGGGCTAAGGACAGCTCCTCCAAAAGGTCTCTTTTTTTATGACGTGGCAGAAGATCGGAGAGGCAGAGGCTGTACTTGTTTGGGCCGGGCACCAAGGGGGGAGGATGATTGAGGCATTTGTCCAGTTTTACTTTACTTTTCCCCATGGTCAGAAAAACCCCACTCGTTCCCTTAGCCGTTGTACAACCAAAGACTCAGTTTTTCAGCATTATGATACCCAAACAACCTTTCCCCGCTCCATATTGGCGAAACCTCTCTTTTTTTTGGAGAAAAGTTCTACATAAAACAGCATGGAAAAGCAAAATATAACCAACATTTTTGGCCATTTCATGGATCTGAATTTTACCATGTACGAGTTAAGAAATCAGTTTTACAATGGAGTAACTTGAAAACTTCAAATGACCTATTGTGACAGAAAATTAAGAATTGGAAACATCAGTATTATTTTTTAGAAGTCATTGCTTTAGAAATTTCTTTTCTTATTATTCTATTATGTTACCACTAAGATACTAATCTGTCCAAGGAAAGTTAGGACCTGAATTGTCTTATTGTCTGGCTAACAATCCATCTATGACAGCATCTTAGATCATGTATAATGTACATTCAGATTATTTTTGTACATTGGTATTTTCACCATATTAAGAAACATTTCTGGACAAACTACACTTTTGTAAGTTAATGTCCTTACTGCCAAAGCTTGACTGACACTGTTTTATAAAATAAATTCAGGTATTTCAGCTAGCCATTTGCACACCATCCAGTTTAAATGTTCAAAGCTGCAAACGTTGGAAGCATTAAGAGCCAGGTTTTTCCACCAATGCAAAATTTGAGAAAAATGTGATGCCAGCAAAGGTCAAAGAGAAGTCAGGGCTGCCCTGTGACATTTCTCTCCTTCCTGTATTCTCTCTGTGTATTGAGCTCAACGTGTGAAAGAGACCAGCACTGGCACAGATGCGACAACAGGCAGCGGGGTCACCTTTAAGACAGGTCCTCTTACCTTCTTTGGTTTTCGAAGGACCCGCAGACACTTCTCTCTCCAAGGCGTGCACAGCAGCTCCCTGCTCCTGTGCCACCGTGTCATTTGGTTTGCACTCCATGTCGGTTTTCTTTTTGGTAACAATGAGGACGTTTGGGGTGAGTGGCAGGCGCTGTATTGGTGCTGGTTTAGAGACCGTAATGGGAGAAGATTGCCGGTGCCGTAGGACATTCGGTGAAACCAGATGAGGTTTGCGTCTGCCGAGAAAGTGGGAGCTATTAGGATGTGCCGCGAGACCAAAGAAGGCAACCGCCCAGAGCTTGCTTGCCCCTGAACCATCTGCCTTTATAGCTCCCTACAGCATGAGTCAGAACGACAATGGGACAATACTGACCCACGTCACCTTCTTCTTTGTCCTGCCCAGGGGTGTCTGCAGGGTACGGTCCAGAAAGTCGAGATGGTGACCATGATGGTGTGACTGAAGGTTTGCACGCACATAAAAAACCAGACGGAGCTCCAACTGTAGCGTCGTGGCCACCATCTTGACTTTCTGGACCACACCCCATGGCCACCCCTTGCTCTACCCATCTTTGCAACAGAAGTACCCCTTTTAGCTTAACCTCACCATTCAGCATCACTAATGTCCTCACTCCTTTCAGCTCCACCTAAGGTGATCTCCTTGCAACACCTCCATCCCTTCTGGAATGAGGCTCCTGCTGAAATCTGTGGGGCTCCCACCTGACGGTGTTCCAGAAGGCCTTGAAGACCTGGCTGGTCCCTCAGGAGGTGGAGGGAGCCCTTGCAGGGTGTGTTTTGTGTGGTGTTGTTGCTGGACCACTATCTTGTTATTTTTTTAATCTGTGTGCTTATTTTTGTTCTTTATTTATTTCTAACCCTAGCCTTCCACTGCTTTCTGTTCCCACGTTTCCTCAACTTCCCCAGCTACACTTTCTTAGCCTTAAGTAACCTTCACTGGGAGATGCTGCAACTAGCAAGTTCATCCAGCATGAGAGGGAGAGAGTATCCTGTGAAACAAGCAGGAACAACATTTTCTCTCAAGTCCTCCAGACATGCCACTTTTCTAAACCAGCTTTCTCAAGCCTGGTGATCTCCTGCCATACTGGGAGTGCCCAGCAAGAGGGCAATGTGTTGGGGAAGACTGTTCTAAAGTCCTTCCTTCTTTAGGGAGAGGACAGGAATCAAGAGGAAAACAGAGGTGATTTTATTCTGAATGCAATCGGGGAAGAGCAGAGATTTTAGCTGGATAGAAACCTTATTGCGGCTGGAGATGGAGGGTGTTTCCCCACGTTACCGGGTGAGACGGAGCGTCTGGGACCAGGCAGTGAGGGCGAAAGAGCTCGCCTCCCTGCTGAAGTCGGGGGGTGCTTTGCTGGCTCAGGTTTCTTGGAAAAGAACAGAGAGACACTGTCACGTCATCAGTTTCCTCTAACAGACGCTGCAGAGCTTCAGCAAAAGAGAGAGGGTACTAAATAAATTAACAAAGCTGCTTTAGTAAGAGCAGGGCACAGCACTTATCAAGTTTGGTAGAAAGTCTCCTTCTCATCTAACCTAGTGAAAAACAGATGCATGTCTTTTAATTCAACGCTTATCCCACACAAAGGGTGGATACAAGTTCCAGACTATCTGAAAAATACACTGAACTGGCAGAAAGGTGAGACAGAAATTGAATTACCATCATCAGCTTTTTAGAGGAGCTCCCCAGCTAGAATATTGCTCCTTAAAGTCTTGCAATACAGGGAGTCCCCAGTTTAAGGATGAGTTCCGTTCCCAAGGTCTGTCCTTAAGTTGAATCTGTCTGTAAGCCAGAACAGTATTATTGTATAATACTGTATAAGTAGTATTGGGTAATGAACTTGAACCACTGTGTCTAAGTCAAATCATTGTGCATTTAACTCGAATCATTATGTATTTAACTTGACTTTTGCTACAATAGGCTCCGTTCTAAACTATGGGTCATCCTTAAACGGGCCGTTCTTAACCGAGGGACTCCCTGTATTCATATTTCAAGAGACCAAGTAAATGCTTAAAATGTCAAAAATGAGACCCAGGAACATGTACTTCAGTCATATCCTTTATCTTATCACTACGACTACTACGTCGTAAGAGCGGAAGGAATAACTGAGGCCGTCCTACCAAAACTGCCGGGGGGCTCCATTATCGATGGGGCTAATGGTTTTGGTATCCCCTAAGCAGAAATCAGCAGCCAGATGTCCCAAAGGTTGACTAACCTGTGTAGATTCCAAGGAAACGTTTTCGGATGAGGCGGCAGCCCCCTTCAATCGGTCTGTGCTGCGACTGCGTAATGGCACTTTGGGGACGTGGGCTGGGAGGTTGGTGGAAGCTGAACAAGGACAGAGGGAAGAGTCTATCAAGTCAAGAATTTGACAGGACAACCAAGACCACCAGGATGCACTGTGGAAGGAGGGGGAGGAAGGGAGTCAGGCAGGAAAAAGGCAAAAACAGAAGGGGACAGAAGACTAGATTTGTTAGGAGACAGACTGAAGATTACAAGTCACAGAGCCAGAGACCATAGTAATTAGAAGGTGAAAGGGGTGGATGGGGAAAGCCCAAAAGGAAACATTTCTGATAATCCATCCCCAAAATGAAATATTCCTACTAATCCACTTTACATTTAAGCTCAAAGGCTTTATTTTTCATTTTTTAAAATCCAGGATCCTTAGACAACATTTACCCAGAACCTGACAATCATAACTCACTACAAATGAAAGAACCCACCCTCTAGTGAATTACGCTTCTTTCCTATCCTTTACAAATGAAGTTTAAGAAATAAAATGGGTGTGAAGCTTAAGAAACAAGAGATCCAGCTCCTGGAAGGTTAAGGAGGGAGACTGCCTCTAATTTCCCGGAGGGGGTTCTCTTCTGACAGGGCTGGAGACAGGAAATGGCTTATCAACAGTTCAGTTCGACTCAAAGGGAAAATTTAAAACACTGGGAAGGCAGGAAAGACTATCAGGCTTTAGGAGCAAAATGAGGGGAGCCACGTTAAAAGGAAGAGGAAATTCTGTTATGAGCTTAAGACCAACCAAAGGGGGCAGAATTGGAATGCAACGTGAAGGGCAAAAAGTTCATCGGAGGATGTCCCCACTACGAGTTCACCTTGGCATCAAAATTCTCCCCTGCCAGGTAGATGCTTAAAGTCTTTGCAGGCACACACAAAGAAGTATTTCAAGATGGCTGCAGAAGGAATCTCCCACAACACAAATTCCAGGCAGAAAGCAGAACTCTCTTGTTCACGGCCCCATCGCCTTCCATCTGCCTGCAATCTTAAAAGCTCCTGACGGGGAGGTTGGCGCTCAACGCTCCCTAGCCCAAAGGCAATA